TATGTATGTATGTATGTGTGCATAGGCATGTATTTATGTGTGTATATATATATATATATATGTACGTATGTATGTATGTATGTATGTATGTATGTATGTATGTATGTAAGATATATAAATGTATATGATATAGGATATGTGATAGATTTATCAAGATACGTGATAGATATTTGATTTTTATATGATATATGATCTATGATAAAAACATACATGCAAGCTCTATATATATATATAGGAGATATATATTTATATGTATATAGGATATATATATATATAGGATATATATATATATATATAGGATATATATATATATAGGAGATATATGTATATATACGCCTGTATGTCTGCCTGTCTGCCTGTCCGTCGTCTGTCTGTCTGTCTGTCTGTCTGTCTGTCTGTCTGTCCGTCCGTCTGTCTGTCTGTCTGTCTGTCTGTGTGTCTGTCTGTCTGTCTGTATGTCTGTGTGTCTGTATGCCTGCATGTTTGCATGTTTGCATATCTGCATGTCTGTATGTCGGGCTGTCCGTCTGTCTGTCAGTCCGTCTGTCCGTCCGTCTGCCTGTCTGTATGCATACATGTATATATGCATGTATGTATGTATGTATGTATGTATGTATGTATGTATGTATGTATGTATATATGTACGTATGTATGTATGCACATATATACGTCTATGTGTGCGTATCTCGTCTCTATCCCTGTTTATGCTTATGAACCGATTGATCTAGTTGTCTACGGGCTCACGTACTTCGTTTATCTATGTGCCCGTTATCCACTACATCTAATCATAGTGTATGTCTATGTAACTATCTTGGTTGTCCAATTGTAACAATCTGGTAACCAAGCTGCCCTAGTAAGGAAGTACTATCTACGGCGTTCCCCTATTCTGGAAACTTGACCTGAGTTCCTGAACAAGAACCTGGCAACCCCTTGGAAGTGCTTGGAGATGACATCCTGTGCTTTGGAGGATGGTGGGTTGTCATCCTGCTGAGTGATCTGCAGCAAAGCACAGTCGGACTCGGACTCGGACTCGGACTGCGACTGCGCGCTGATGAGAAAGACAAGGGGCAAGAGGCGCATCATGCGGCCGCAAAGAGGGAGCTGAGGAGGGGGGCTTGTGACATTGCAAGCATTGAAAGCTGCGGCAGGATGCAAAGTCAGAACCCTGCAACAGCAGAAGTGACAAGTGACCCCTCCAACAGCCAAGGCAAAAGCTTGGACAACGCTTCAGGTTTCGATACGGGCCCTTTACGGGACTCTCTTGGGCCAGGATTGCCGCTTGAGAGTTCAGAGCCTTGATTCTTGTTGAGGAGCTTAATATGAATCGCCACACTTGGCCGAGGAACCAATCGAAGTTAGCACAAAGGGGATACATAGTGTAGTAGCCTTACTGTGTTGTTTCGAAAGACAGAACCCAGTGGCTGCCTGACATTTGGAAGATTCAGGACTTCGGACCTTTCCTTTTTCTTGGCCATCCCTTTCAAAAGTCTGATCCGTTTCTGGCAATAAGTGTCGGATGCAACCTCCAAGCCGCTTTTTGCGCCAAGCACCTTCCTCCCCGAAGGGTTCTGGAATCTCTTGGCGCAGGCTGGAGCTGCGCTTAAAAGCTGGGCTGGGCTAGCGGGGCCCCATGCTAGGCTTGACTTGCATCTCCACCGCAAAACAGCACAAGAGTACCCAGAATTCCAAGGCATACCCCAAAAAAGCAGCATCTCAGGAACCCTAAACCCTAAACCCTAACCCCTAAACCCAGAATTCCAAGGCATACCCAAAAACCAGCGGCATCCCCCGACCACCCCGCGAGGCTCCCACGACCAGCCCCTCAGTCCAAAATGCGGAGAATGCCGGGGCAAGGATGATTGAAAGAGGGTTTTGGGGGTATATGATTGCATATAATCTTTAGGGAGTAGGGTTTAGGGTTTAGGGTTTAGGGTTTTTGGGGGGTATATTATTCCATATAATCTATGATAAGGAACCTGCCCAAATTTGAGGTATACGATTCCATATAACCTATAATAAGGAACCCACCCTTTAGTACCCTAGTGTGGCGGGAGCACAGTTTGGCACCGCAGAACGCGCACGGCGCCATGCGAGAAGCTCGACGTCGGAAGCACAACTCCTCTTGGAGGCGGAAACACGGACAGCGCAGAAGAATCTGTAAGGCATTCTGCGAGGAAGACGAGCCTTTACTGCCAAAGAGCCGCAAATTCCGCAGGGAGGAGAAGGAGACGCAGGGGCCCAAGAGCGACTTCAGAGACTTCGAGCGTCTTGAAGGCGCAAAATCAAGGCGGGAGTCCCACCTCCGAACACCCCAAGACATGTAAGCAGTGTGGCGGGGCGCTGAACTGTGAACTGTGGCGACAAGGCGATCTATTCGCAGATGTGCACCGCACCGAGGAGATAGCCACGGAATTGCCGCTTACGCCTGCCGCACACGCCTCGCGTGGACAGCGATCTCATCCGCTTACTCTAGTGACTCTAGTCGTGAAGCCCACAGCGTATACTTAAGCATCAGGGAACCGAACGAGCAATTCGTCAGTACACTTAGTCAAGTAACCATGTGCCCACAACGCCAGCCAAGATGCTCAGGATCCTCTCCAAACCCATCTGATAGTAATCTGTTGGGGTGTTGTCTTTGTTGGACCCCTTATGCGGTCTAAACAGGGTTCCTAGCATGAGGCCCGCTGCCACAAAGAAAAGGCCAATCGCCCGAACCCTGGCCACCGGCGTGCGCCGTCGAGGCAGGTTCAAAACTGCATGTCATGTTGAACAGACTGTCAGATTCCACTCATCTCAGAGCCTGCAGCGAGGGATTTGGGTAGTGGTTCAGACATTCCCCTCTGATATGTGGGTAGTTTTCTAAATTAGGGTCCATTTTTGGGTCCCTATTATAATGCGGCACCTATTATTTAGGGTACCCCAAAAGGGACCATAATTTTGACAACTGCCCATGTAGGGATCCTGAACCTAGCACCGGCCTCGGACTGGCAGCATGGGATTCCTTGGGAACGGAGGGGGGTTTTAGCCTTTATTATTCAAGCTCAAAAGGCCAATGTATCCAATATGGGTCGTCGGACGCGACCTCTCCCAGAATCTCATATTCCAGGCGCTCCTCGCCAGCCTGCCTTAAAATGAAGATTCAGAGGCGTAGTGACTCAGTGTTTACGTAGGGGCAAACAGCCAGAAAGATGTGCCAATCAAGTGCATGCACTCTAGGTCTCGAGATCGCGAAGAAACGTTTTGCAGAAAGGACACGGCCAGATCATAAAGCCCACACTCCGGACCCATTCACAAAACTTCACCCTACGACATGAAAGCCCCAAACCTCTAGAGCCCAAGCAAGCAAACCTCAGCCCGTTCAATTATCGCAACCCGCATAACGATTGTCAAAAACCCGAATCCCTAAGCCCTTACCCCCAAGCCCTGAACGCTAGACCCTAAAACCCCACGCCCTGAACCCTAGGCCCTAAAACCCTAAACCCGAATCCCTGAACCCTAAACCCCTAATCCCTGAACCCTTAGCCCCTAATACCTGAACCCTAAGCCCTTAACCCCACGCCCTGAACCCTAGACCCTAAAACCCTAAACCCGAATCCCTGAACCCTAAACCCCAACCCCTGAACCCTAAGCCCCTGATCCCTGAACCCTAAGCCCCTTACCCCAAGCCCTGAACCCTAGACCCTAAATTCCTAAACCCTAATCCCTGAACCCTAGACCCTAAAACCCTAAACCCTAATCCCTGAACCCTAAGCCCCAAAGCCCTGCGTTGCCGCACCTCAAAGAGCCGCCTGGCCGAGGAAGCCATGGCCGTTGTTGATGGCGGCGAAGTAGGCAGCGAAGACCAAGGACACGATCGCCTGAGGGGGTTTGGGGGCTTTAGGGGGGGGGGTTCGGGAGTTTAGGGTTTGCAACTCAGGGATTAGGGCTGTGGGGGTTAAGTATTCAATTGTTACAGAATTTGGGCGTGCAGCTGTTGGTTCAGGATCTCTCTCACTGACCATCCTGAGGGCACCGACATAACCCGAGCCCCGCTGCAGATGGTCAAGCATGCTGGGTTCGAGCGGTAAGGTTCGTGGAGTCCCAATGCTAATGACATCGTAATTTTCTTGAACCTTGATAATGGCAACAACATACGAACAGTAACAGCTTGGAAACAGAGCGACGGCACATGCACAGACAGTAGCCACAGAGGCAATAACGGCAGCTAGCATACGCATGAACACCAGTCTTGATAAAAAAAGACGACGGCTATGGAGACTAGCACCACCCATAAGCAAGAACACGAATTTTACGATTCTGCACTGCGAGGCAATATCAGGATCCCCTATGTTTAGGGTGCCTTGAAGATAATGCAGGATTAAGCTCATGAACAGTACGCACATGTATGAGAGAATCAAATAGCTGGCGGCCCGCCTGCAACTTCATCACGATGTTCAGCGCAGGGCCAGAGGTGTCCTGCTGCAAGCAAGTTGAAGATGCGTTGTTGGGAGCACGAAGCAGGGCTAAAGCATTAAGATCGAGCTCTTGCAGGTAACACCCTTTCAAGCCCTGACACCCATAACGGTGTGGGTTTCAAGACTCAAATTTCACGCCTTTTCGGCCCCTCAGTCTGGCATGCCAGAGTTTAGGGTGTCAGGTTCGAGACTTGAGCTTTGAAGCCTGGGAAGGGCTTGGGGTTCAGGGCTCAAGTTTAAGGGTTAAAGGTTTAGGGTTTGGGGTCAAGGATAGTTGTAAAGTTTAGCGCGCAAGGTTTCGGTACTGTGCTCTGGCATTAGTCGTCCAATTTCGCCTTGAAGATGGGGCTGTTGGGGAAAGTGTTGTTGCACACACATCAATAAAGTGTATTTAAGGAGCTAACTGCAACTACGATATGGATCGTCAACTGGGGGCACCTTATACCATAAAAAAAAAACATTCGACAGGAGTCGGGGACTGCAAATTTTGAAGCCCGTGCACAGATCCAAGGGTAACCAAGCATGATTTTGGGTAGGGAAATTCTATAAGTTCAGATGAATATTTACAAGTTTTACATGTAGCCATAAGCGCGGTAGTTTTAGCATTCATGACTATATTCAATTTGCCTACACATCGGGACGGCCCACCTACAACCAGCACCACCATGTCCTCCATCTGGGAGAGACACCCACGCAACTCAGCGCAATGGAAAAATCTCGCTGATCCCACTTTAAGTGCGACAAGTTGATGGCATTGGACAGTGGTGAAGGCATGCTGGCCGACACGTGCGGTGTTGCCGGAAAGTCATTAAATTCCAACCGACAAGGTGATGTTTTCTCGGAAAATGCACTCGCCTCTGCAACAATTCTCTGGCCCCACGCACATACCTCGCACATTGGCGGGCAAGAACACGTCAAAGTCGGCACAACCCATCAACAGCCTCCTGGAACGACAACCGAAAAGAAAATTGCCGACAGGAGGCTGCGGCTGCAATGGGACGATGTCCCAGCACAGTCTATAACACGACAAAATCGGCATTACCCTCCAAATCTCTTGCAAGATCGGCGGACCGAGGCCAGAAGCTCCAATTCAAGTATTACTGATCCTCTAGGAGCCTTTCTTGGGCGCCTCCAGCAGGCAGGTGCTGCGGATGGCGGCGGCTGGTTGTCAGCTAGCTACTCTGCCCTCTCCAACTCAAGCATCAACTCTGCGAAGGGTCGACAAGTCCTTTGTCATGATTCTGTCCCCTGTTACGAGCGGTGTGCTCACGTGTTCATGCCGTGGCGTAGGTGTAGGCCGTAGTAGAGTGATCCCCACTGCTGTCATCACACAAGTACAGCATAACGAGTAGATGCACTCAAGCTACAGATCGGCCATCTCCGTGCGGCCTTGAAGTTGGACCGTGCAACTCTACATGCCGAACTTGCTTGGATGCTGGATATGATCTGACATGCTGGTTCCGGATTCATGGAGGCGCGAGTGGTGGTACATATGTTACATATTCATCTTTTCTCAAACGCCGCCATGCTGAATAGAGGCTTCGCATACATTCTTAGTAGCGATTGCCCGGGGCACAGCTTTTGCGCTCATGCGGCTTCGATGACTTCGACGTGCCTAGCATCGGAAGCTTCGGGTGTCCAAGATACCAGACGTTGGCCAGCACCGAAAATCGTATGGTATTGCACACGTTAATCCGGAGACCGCATCAATTCTCGGAACCACATTTACATCCAGACCTTTTGGCCAACATCCTGCCACTCAGCGCCGGGTTCAGGGAGGCGACGAATGAGGTGCCTCGAAAGGGGTGTCGACATCATGTCACGGTTACATTCAGCTTTCTTCCAGACAGACTGTATACAGACTCGGCATTGCAGAGGGGCCAGCATCCGATTGCCATCACGCAATGCAGAAAATGGGCCGAGCCCTGAGAAAGCGGCAGCCTGTAGCCTTGAAGGCATCAGAGAGGCAGCTCTGGTCTCGGCCAACGTCGATCCTCCCAGTTTGCTTGCAGTCCGGACATCGAATCTGTTCTTCATGGCCAAACGCTCGAAAAAATTGATCGTACTGATCAAGGTGTATGTCGGAGAGCTGCATGTCCGTTCTTTCATGACTGCTGTGACTGGAAAAGATTCTACTGACACCCTGGTCTAAGATCCTGACGCCGAAGAAATGAAAATGTTTTCACAGGACATACCGTCCCGGTGCCAGTACACCAGTGCCTTCCACGATAGCAACCTGCCTGTCCATACGGAAGGCGCCTTGAGTTTTCAATTCTCCACATTCGGGGACCCTTACTTCTAGAAGGGCCACATGAACCCTAAACCGAAAATGGAAAGTTACAGCCTAAAGCCCTCACCCCAAATTCGAGACCTAAGCCCGAAAGCGTAGGAGTCCCCACGAGTCTCCTAGGCAGCGACCAAGCTGGGCATGGACACCCGCCGCAGAAATGAGCCGATTCAACTTCCGAACCCTGGGGGGGTTTAGGGTTTAGGGTTTAGGGTTTAGGGTTTAGGGTTTAGGGTTCAGGATCTGGGCCGGCCCCTCCAATAGAAACCCTCATAGTCGAGCAGAATAGCAATCCTGATAGCAGCCGTCTCCGAACCCTGGTGCAGAAACAGACGTCGTTACCCAAATACTAGAATCGTCAAACAGCTCCGGGGTTTAAGGTTTCGGGGAAGGGTTTAATCGGCTGTTGAAAGAATTTGCTGTCTCTGCTGTGGCTCAGGTATCAGGGTTTATATGTGCCAGCATTCACACAACACTTCAGCTTCCTCCCCCCATGCTACGTAGACCCTGCGGCCTCGGATATCCCTTCAGCCAAACATCTCGCACACACGTCCATTAGCTTGCCATGTTCATGACAGGGCACCTTCAGTCCAAGAGCTCAGGAACACCCCAAGAAGCAGTCCCTGAAGCAACATACATATGCCACATACTGCATCACTTCGAAGTAGATGAGAAGGGGCTTACACTCACCCTTAACCCTCACCCCTGACGAAGAGCAATGGGCTCCCGCCTTGAACGGATCTCCGACGGTGTCGCCCTGCACGGCCGCGTCGTGAGCCTCCTTGGCCTGGACCGAGGGGGTTAAACCCAAGGTCCTACAGGGAAAACCAAGCCTTAAGATTGAACCCTAAACCCTAAACCCCTAACCCTAAACCCTAAACCCTAAACCCTAAACCCTAAACCCTAAACCCTAAACCCCTAAACCCTAAACCCCTAAGCCCTTACCCATAAACCCTAAACCCTACGAAGGGAGTTCCAGGGTGCCCTTGAAATGTTCTACGTCTTTCTTGATAGCGGCTCTTCGGGCATGGGGTTTGGGGAGACAGGCCGTCGGCATGCGTAGGCCTTCGCGTTTAGAGGATGCTTTGGGCTCGACTAGTGGAAGGGTCTACCGGCAGGGGACCAGGGGCATCGTGGAAAAGCGTTTTATAAAGACACCTGACTCCTTTTGTTCTGAGAGCAACATACGACAAGTTTGGGCCAGGCACCCAATCCCCGAAACCCCAACCCCAAAAGCTGACCCCAAACCTCAAACCTCGACCCAAGCCCTAAACCCCAAAGTTTGGATCCTAACTAAACCTCATCCTAAGCCGCAAATCGTCGACCGAGGCCCTAATTTTCACACCCCAAACCCATAATGCTCTTAGAGAAACCCAATTGAGAAACTGATGAAACCGTTAAGAAAACCATCCAAACCCTACCATAAACCCTTACATGCAACCCTTGAAGGAACTTTGAGAGCAATCGTCCAAACAACCCGAAAGGAGCCAAACCCCTAGACCCCAATCCCGAGACCCGAAAAACTAGACTCACTAGACTATAGGGTTTAGGGTGTAGGGTTTAGGGTATAGGGTTTAGGGTTTAGGGTACCCTAAACCCTAGACCTCAACCCCCATCCAAAAAGAAGAAGGAGCCCAGGAAGGAGCCTTGGGGGCCGCCTTGATCTCATCCGGCGTGCGGGGGTTCTTTGTGTAGCGCAGCCTCAGCGAAAGGGTTTGTGGGGTTGGGGAAATTTGGGTTTAGGGTTTCGGAGTGTTGGGTTTAGGGTTTAGGGTTAAGGCTTAGGGTTTAGAGTTTCGGAGTGTTGGGTTTAGGGTTTAGGGTGTAGGGTTTCGGAGTGCTGGATTTGAGGTTGAGGGTTAGGGTTTAAGGTTCAGGGCTTCGGAGTGTTGGTTTAGAATTTGGGATTAGCTTTTAGGGTTTAGGATTGAGGGTTTGGGGGTT